ATTACTTGATAACCTTTATACTGAATGTGCGACTTTCTTGTGAAAGATCAGTTGGATTATTTCAAATAGCCCTTAGACATTAAATATTTTGCAGAGCATGAGAGTTGCATCCCTTTAAACAATATTTGAAGATTCCTACAAAGTACTTTGTGAAGCAGTCTCTTCCCTCTCTGTTTCTCCCTGTCTCTCTCTCTCAGTATTGGACAGACGTCTACCTGAGCTGGAATCCAGAAAAATACCCCGGTGTCCAGAACCTGCGCTTCCCTTCAGACCAGGTCTGGACCCCTGACATCCTCCTTTACAACAGGTCAGAGCTTTTCACCTGCTTATCACTACCTTCCTTATAGCAGACATTTTTATATTAGTAGTGTATCAAATGGCGACAGTGTTATATTATTAAAGGGGTCAGGCAGAGTGATTTACTGAGAAATCACTTTAATCTGCAGGTCACTTCGGCTTTACAAGGCTTTATCCTGAGTTTCTGCTCTTTGTTTAGCTTTCTAGCAGCAACATTAATATTTTGGTTCCACTCTCATATTGCCTTTTCAGCCGCAGCCGGCAGCTGTGTCAAGCGAAAAAGCTTTAAAACACACTACGCACCACTTTTTTACTGTAGCATTAAACAACAGACAGAATGTGTTGTGTCATGTGAAAATGTTGGTGTTGTGACCCATCGTTGTGAGTCCAGCAGATTAACACCTTTGTTACTATTTTTATTTTTGATTGAGTGCATTGAAGTAGTTGAAATATCAGTCTAATCCTTATTGCTTTCATAAATTCTGTCTTTAATCTCTCCACAAACCAAAGTACTGTCAGGGTTACTTAAGGCCAATGTGATAAACAATCATCAACCAAACACAACGCTTTAAAAACCTAAACCGTAGTTCCACTGCATTCAATAGAAATGTGCTGGCTGTCTTTTAAGAAACCATAACGATGACAAAATAAAAACATTTGTGATATCACACTTTAAAAAAAAAAAAGTTTGAAAAAAAAGAGTCATACGCTTAGGGCAAAGTCAATATTGAACTAACTGAGATTGAGCGAGCTCATTGCATATTTTGATTCAGGTCAGGCTGTATCCACTGTTCTGCATGATTCTCAAGTCAATTAGAAAAGTAGGCCAGTTGTTTTCATCCAAAACAACTAATTGCATTGCGTTTGCATGCTTCACTGAGAGATGGATGATCTGGTTTGAGACTGAGGGGGGAGAAACAAGAAGAAATGGAATAAATCACAAAAAGGAAGACAAAGACACAGTGGTGATGTGTGACGCAGCTTGTAAAGCAGAACATTTGAAAGACGTATATACATAAAGTGAAGTTAAGAGAGACAGACAGCTATTTCATTGACATTCAATTATGTTTCTGAGGTGATCAATGGACAAAGATGCCTACATTTCCCCCCAAACCACACACACACACACACGCAACTAACTTACGTATAGCATACATTATCACACACACACAGGCATTTTACAGGGAATACAAAGACAAAACAGAGGTTTGGGGGTATTAACCTACATTTTAAAAGCTCTTTTTTCAGACCTGCCAGGATTACCCATTCTAATCTCCCTTCTCCCCCAGATTTGTTCTCCACTGCCTCCTCTCCTCCCTTTCCACATCCACCATCCATGCCATCTTACAAACTAGCATCCAGCCATCTTCTCATCTATTTCTGTCTCCCTCCATCTCTCTTTCATAACTCACTGTCTCACTATAATTCACTCGATTCAATCAACCTTTTCCCTCCATATTTTTTATCGTTCCACAGCCTTCACCAACTCCTACCTGTCGCTGCCCGTCAAGGTGTCAGCATGTTACTCTCCCCCTCTACTCACAGGCAACCTTTGTTTCTTGCTAGATGCTCCCCTGTCTTCTCTTGAGCTGAATTTGACTTTGCTACCCGCTGAAATCTCTTCACATATAAAAACACCTCCCTGGTTTTTGGAGAAACTTCCTGAAGTTTTTACTTGTTTGCTTTGCCTAGCATGAACCTGAGGAAAAATACATTCTTCCTATTTTATTTTCACTTGTTATCTTTGATCTAATTTAGGAAATGTATAAAGCACAGAAGTCATAAGGAGTAGTTCACTGGGTTTTCTATTGAATGACGGGTAAGACAAGGCTGATTTGACTCCTCAACTTTAATAGGGTAGCCCTACATTTAAGCATATTAATGTTTGCTATTTAGCACTCAATTACACGTTGAGCTCAAGAAAATATCATCAGTTTTACTGGTGTTGGACAAAGTAAAGTTCCGGTCTGATGATGGCACTAGCCTAGTTAGAAGATTACCAAAGTTATTACAGATCATCCTGAGGAAGAACATGAATATCTAAACACATTTGAAGGTCATCTTTAAAAAAAGAAGATTGATCAGTGTTTTGATTTTTAACATTGAATAAAATGGTGGATCAACTCACAGTTTTTTGTTAGCTTTGCAAAATAGCTGTATATGTATGTCATTTTTTTTTTTTAAATGTTATTATCATAACTTGTTCATACATGTGTGCCTCAGATTGGTGCTGATGTTGCTGGTTTTCAGCCTAAGACTTATCTCATTGAATTTTGAGAAGATGCAAACTAGAGGAGAAATGTAAAACTTTCAGCAATAATATTGATTGTTGCTAGAAACACAGATGCAATGCTGCACATCTCTAATCTCTCAAGTCACTAATACATATGCACACAAACAAACACACACTCTTCACCAGCCCATCACACACAATCACATACTTGCTGTTACACAATTACAGTCATTAATGGCACAAAACACACCATTACACTGTGGCCCATCAGTGCGCAGCCAATAAAACACTAGTCTTACTGTTTAGAATAGAAGATGCATTCAGGCTTATTAGCCCCTGCTCAGATGAGAGCTCTCCATGAATCCATTAATGTATTGTTATTGTTTTAATATGAAGTTAATGATGTCTAGTAGTGCCGAGGTCAGGTGCCATCTCAAAATGATATGAATTCAAGAAAGATAAAAATATCTCGGAATAAAAAATCAGAAATTGTCTGGCTATGAGTCACTCATCTCATATTATCCCAATGTGAACTATTTTATATCTCTCTCTTATTGCTTTTCACTTTGTAGATCATTGTGCTCACACTGCTTCATAATGATGTTTCACGCATGGATAATCTTTACTGTGAGTCATGGATTTACAATCGCAAACATATCCATGCATATTGCCGGAGGAAAATATTTCCTTATCCCCATAATTGGAAAATGTTTTGTAATGGGATTGACAGCTGAAGTCTTTCATTTCAGATCAAAGAGTTAAGATTACCCTAAATCCATTGGCTCAGACTACCGTAATTAGGAATTCCTTTAACACCTATTAGAGGGGTTTTTTATTCAGCCTATTAAAACTCAACCTGCTGGTTACAAATTGAAGATATTGGTTTATTTGGCATAGAGGGATGGAATATTTAATTATAAATAGGAAGGTTATGACAACAGGACACAGACATGTGTCCTCCACTGAAACAGTGATTAATGTTTACATTAGGCTCTTCCACTTTCCTGATGAGAACCATCCGTATATTTCATGTTGACTCCGTCTCGTCTGCTGTGTGTGTCAGGCGAGCATAAATTGCAGAGCGTGTGTGATTGTATTTGTATAAAGAATATTCTGATCTTAATCGGCTTTGTACGCCAGTGACCTCCTCTCTCATTGGAGGGAAAAGTCAATGGTCTCAGTTGACTGGGGATCGATGAGGCACATGAAGGACATCCAACTCAGGTAAACCACAGACAGAATCCTAATTCTTCCAGCGGAGACAGTAGAGGTACAGACAGAGCGTTGTGACAGGCTATACACATGAAAAGGGATTTCTTAGTTGTTGTTTCTTCACAAGGGTGGATGGTTAAATCAATGGACATATGGACAGTTTTGATTACCTTTTTTGCAATCACTTAAATTAATAAATACTCAAGGAATGAAATGCAATATGCACGGTGTTAAGGTGCATGTCTTTAAAGTGTAGAAGTGCAGATTGAGCGCATGAGGTGTAAGTAATGTCCTATTGATATTATTCTTACTTGAGGTGAACATCCAGAAGCTAAACACACAATGGATTACATAATGCCTTCTAAAAGCATTACTGAAATTCTGCTCATCAATAATGAAGATCTCATGATAAACAGGAACTTTCATGTTTAACCAATAAAGCCCATGCTCAGTTTGTTTTAGTCACATAAGACTAACTTAAATGCTTGAGTTTTCACCCAAAAAAAATACGATTAAAACAAAAATACCACATATCGTTATCCGTGGATAATGATCCAAAGTCTTTAAGTTACTTATTAAAGATGACAATGTAGATGTTTATAAGTAGTCCATTCATCATGGGTAAATATGTGCTCTGCCTCTATAGGAATATACATCTTACTGTAAATTGGAATATACTGTACTCCTCCCTGCAGCTTCCTTGACCATCTAGTTAACCACAGAGCCTCGTGGCTCTCAGACAGAAAGCCTTTCCCCTGAGGCTGTTTAGTTGAGATATGACATAAGGCACATGGATGGTGAGGTCTTTGCTTAAAGGGGACCTATCATGCAAAATGCACTTTGCGTGTACGTCTTTTATACATGAATATGTGTCCCCGATGTGTCAGGGAACTCACCAAGTATCAGAAAACACAACCCTCTCTCTTTTCCTCCATACCCAAATCTCTAAAAACGGGGCTGCAACGGATCTGATACAGATTTGAAATATCTCTGATGTCAGAAACGGGGTGCTCCGCCTATATGGGCAACTCTCCACCTATCAGGAGGAGACAGCCACGGCCATTGCCGTTCGCAAGCGCTGGAGACGCTGTAGTACATAGGCCAGGCCTGTAGGTGGCGCTGTAGTCTGCCACAAAAGCAGCGAAGAAGACTTCTCACAGATTCAGCCCGTGCAAAAACAAGGCTGGAATAGTGCGAAATGAGGCATGGCTAAAATGCATGATCTGTTTGGTATTTTGAAAAGAAAACTTTGCAGACATGTTTTATATAGGTATGGCCCTACAATATATTATTCAAATATAGCATGATAGGTCCACTTTAATTTAATTAAAATGGCATCCTTTTTGGTGTATCTGACGGAGTTGACAAAATCAAGTTAGGAAGTGAATAAATGTCAAGTTTACTAACAAGTGTTTAAATAAAAAAGGTGTTCCCTTACCTGATTTGCTGGTGCATTCCTTTGTCTAATAAATATACCACATTAAAATAAGGGTTGTATTTAAAACTTTTTTTGTAACTTACCTCAAGAATCAGTGCTGTAATAGTGTACAGTATATTATATTTCTTGCCCTACTGTCAATAAGAATGGATATCAGTAGCAAACTATAAAACATACCGGTGTAATAGACCACTGGATGGCAGTCATAAGGTTTTCTAATATCGGAGTTCGTCACAATTTTGATCCCTATTCCCTAGAAGGGCAAAGAGAGAGATTATTAGTTAACCAACAAAATATGAAGTCATATTTTGTATATGATTGGTCACACATTTTTAACGCAGACAGTTTTAAATGACCCTGACAGAAATCACAAAAGGATACATTTTCTCCTTAAAAATGTTATATCGATCAATCTCAATATCTACAGCCCATTATTTAACACCAATAAAAAAACGACATGTTTCACTTTAAAAATGTTGTAGACGTCATTCTTCTGATCGTCCTCTGGAAAGTAGAATGAGCGCTTTGCTCGACTAGCTGGCTCTACGTCAGGGGCAAGCTCCAGTTCTGGTTCTATTATCTCGATTTCATCCTCTGGTACTGGCAGAAGCTTGCAGGGATCGGACTCAGCGTCTACAAGGTCATAGCTGTATCCTGAGAGCTTTTGCACAGGCAACTGGCTGTACACCTGCATAAAAACACACATGAGTCAGGTTAAGTCATCAGTTTACACAGGAGGTAAAGATCAGTCCAAGTAGAGGTCAACATCATCATCATCATCATCATCATCATCATCATCATGTTCCTAATACAACATACAAAAATTAAGTTAAAATAAAAAAAGACCTGCAGAATGCAGGCAAAGAACAGCTGTACTGCTGAGCTAATTTCAAATTCAGTGTGGATCTGGCAGCGGACAGTGGGAAAAATATATTTGTAATGCCTTTATCTGGAGACTTTTTTTGTTTTGTTTCTATAACTGGTTAATTTATGTTAGTTTGGGGGAAAACAAAAGACTGATTCCTCAAGATAAGTAGTGTGAATAGTCAGTAACTACACAGCACCACAGGTCAGGTCTGCTTAATCTTTCTGTGAAAACTGTAGTCTATAAAAAGTGTGAAATATGTAAGCTCTATGTTAAAAAACTGTTAACTGATAAAGGAAAAGGACTGATCTGAATGTTATCTTTAGCAGGAAGTCATTGCATTTACAGATTCTGTTGAGTGTGTTAGAATGATTTACAGTCAGATCAATCATTACTGAACAATTCAAAAGATATTTCAGGGGCTATGCTGTAGTAGCATCCAATATCATACTATCATCCAATATCATACTATTGCACTTGACTCCAGTGTTGAGAGGAAGCAAAATTAATGTTAACTAGGTCGATTTGTAAAGTGTTTTCTCTCTGTTCCATCGGGTTTCCATGTCTGGCATAATGGACATAGCTATAACGACATTTGGTTGTGCAACCATATGTTGCGTAATGAGAATCCTTGTTTTCTACCTATACTATTTACTCCTTTTAAATCCATGCCTTGTTTTAAGCATTAAAAACATCATGCTCAGGTGTGCGTAAAGATATGATATGGTTTCATACCGAGTCAACAGTGAGTTCCTGCTCTTTCTGCAGCAGCAGGACGCTCTGGTCGATGGCTCTGACGGAGCACATGGAGCCTGGGTGAGCCTGCAGGGTGAGCGTGGTCTTCTCTGCTGGAAGCTCCTGGAGAGAGGAGAACCTCAGAGACACCTGCAGAGAAGACACCGAGGTGGGGAAGCATTAGTTTGACAGCCCAAAAGAAGTGAAGAAGTAAAGACCTAATGTATGGTAAAGACTTAAAACCATGAAGTTGAATACCTTGTTATTGAGGCAGAGCCTGATTGGAAAGTCCATGCTATCGGCCACAAGCTCCCCTTTGGGCATCACAGTATAAATGACCACCTGGGCAAAAGGGGCCAGGTTTGTAACCTGACGCAGTGGCACAGACAACTCTCCTTTGTTGACTGAACCATGGCACACAGAGAGAAAAGGAAATTACATATGAAATTATCACAATAAGTAAACACAAATAATATACTCTTCTCATTCAACTAACATAATATAATAACCTGTGAAAGTAGCCTGATGCTTATGTAGGTACCAATAGGCACATGCATATATCTTTTTTTATAAATGCCCAGCAGGTCGAGACTTCACTGGTTGCAAAAACTCTGAATGCATAGAAGTCTATGAAAAAAAAGTCCCTGATATAATAATTTGGTAAATATATTCTTTATGAGTTTATGGTTTCATTGAGTAGTTTTAATTATCTTTAATACGTCATGATGTTAATTTTGTACATTATGATCCCATTTAGAGTCAAATAGACAATGAAGTAGGTTGTGCATTTGGGCGTGGCTACCTTGTGATTGGCATCTGCTGACAATAAT